GTTGCTGTACCACCGCTGTACGGCCGGGGCACGTAGTCTCGGCACTTAGCGACAAACTGATGTGCGTTTGCACGCGCTCTCCTTTTATACCCGCGCTGCGGGGCGGGGTGCGCGTGGCGAAACACACACGCCAACTGTCATTGGCTTGTTTAGTTAACACTCGAAGGGGATTGGGCTCTCGGGGGAGATCCCAATTCGTCAGTCACTGACGTAACGTCTCCGTTCCCTCCTTCAGGGAACGAGGGTTACACAAGTAACCTAGACGTTCCTTCTTCCTAGACAGCTGTTGACAGCTTATGTGAGTGTCTTAAAGACACACTTTCCTAGAATACCGTCTCTTTCTCAGGAATGCTGTCTTCAGTCCTTGTATTCCTCCTTTGAGTCTACACTTTGATGATGAAATATCCAGCGGTCCATGCTGCAATTTTTGTAAATGTTTAGTCACATGACTGCTGTTTATCATTTTGGTTTGAATTCAGCAGTTATATATTGTTTTATTACTTGTGTGTATTACGTTCAAGTTTGTGGCTGTCACCTTGTTTTAATTTTTGAGTAATTTAATAAATAAATTTGTCCATAACAACAGAAATATATATATATATATATATATATATATATATATATATATATATATATAATATGAACTGATCATGAAATGTTGATATTTTTGTCAAATAATAAATCTGTTTTCTTCATTTATTGAGTGCAAGCTTGAATATTATTAAGCTTGTACTCTAGGTGACATGAATCAAACGGACAATTACAGTGCACAGCATAAATGAGTACACCCCCTCTGATTCAATATAAAATATGTATTTTCTTAATAATCACTAATATAATTCATAGAAAGATGGCAAAATTGAAATGTATTAAACATTCTTAATAAAAACAGAGAAATACATGCCATTAATATCTGTAAAATAAGAAACTTAGCCAATTTTTGTTTAAATGAAGGATTGCAGAATTGAGTACAACCTAGATTTAATTCACCCAAGTGTAATATTCTAGAACTTAATATGTCCTCCATAACTCTAAGTATACTGCTCTGACCCTTCTTGGCACTGAGTGTACAAGTTCATGACAAATTTTCACATCTGTGCTGTTTTAACTCCTGGAGAACGACCTCCTTAAATGCTCTGGTCTTTAATGGGGAGTGTTCCTCAGCTCGTCTCTACAGAATCTCTCACAGCAGCTCAAGAGTGTT